GGGCGGGTGGCCAGCAGGCGGGCCACGAAGAGCAGGAAGGTGGCGGCCGAACGGCGGCGCCGCAGACGGCCCGCGGCCTGCGCCAGCAGGGCCAGCGCCAGGACGTTGGACACGGCGCCCAGCGTCATGGAGAAGATGGGCAGCGCGGGCGACCCTCCCGGACCGCCCGACGGCGGCGCGGCCGACGCGTTCAGGACCCCAGGCGCGGTGCACGTGGTCGCCTCGCCGGCCAGGCTCAGGTTGAAGGGCCCACAAAGGCTCATGTCGGGTGCCGGAGGGTCTGGATAGAGGAGAGGAGGGCAAGGTGAGGTTGGTGGGGACACAGGGCCAATCCTGGGGCTGGGACCAGCTGGAGGTCCCTTCTCTGATCACTAGGGCCACCATGCAAGCGCATCGTGGCCTCCTTCCGGCCCTTGGCTCAAAGCCACCCTGGCTGCTGGGTTTCTGAGCCCCTTTGACCCCCTGCCTCACGACGTCTCTTGCTTTGGGGTTGTACTCTGCCCATCAAAGCTCCCAGCCTTCAAGGGGCTCTGACTTGCCCCTGGGGCCCTCAGATCTGCCTCGGGCCCCCACCACCCCTTTCCACCCCATGAGTTCCTGGTCCCCAGTCCCATCCCATACACCCTGGCCTTTCTTTCTTCTTTCTTTTTTTCCTTCTTTCTTTTTTTCCTTCCTTCGTTCCTTCTTTCTTTCTTTCTTTCTTTCTTTCTTTCTTTCTTTCTTCCTTTCTTTCTTCCTTCCTTCCTTTCTTTCTTTCTTTCTTTCTTTCTTTCTTTCTTTCTTTCTTTCTCTCTCTCTCTCTCTCTCTCTCTTTCTTTCTTTCTTTCTCTCTTTTTCTTTTTTTTCCTCCCCCCTCTCTCTCTTTCTTCCTTCCTTCCTTTCTCTTTCTTTGCCCTTTTTTTTGAGTTTTTTTGGTATAGGGTGTATAACCTTGCCAGAGACAGAGACACACACACAAAAAACCAGAGAGCGAGAAATCACCCCCCCAGAGGGGATGGTCACACCACAATCCCTTCTCCATTTTCCTTTCTGGTTTTGGGCACTCATGCACACGCATCTGGTGTGTGTTTTAAGCCACAGGGTCCAGGACTCGAACCGCCGTTGACTACATGGGAGTTCAGCGCCATAACCATTATGCCACCTGTTGGTCCCCACCCTGGTCCATGTCTGAACCCAGGACCCCCTGGACCCGCTGCCCCATCTCCAGTCTTCCCTGAGACCCCGTCACTCCACTCACGCTCCAGGCCCTCAGCCCCTCCTCTGCCACCGTGGACGCGTGTGTACCTGTGGCAGCCTCCCCAGCGCCCCTCTGGCCCTGTGATCCCATTTCTGCCCTGTGGTCATGTTTGTGCCCTCATGGCTGCATTTCGGTCCCACTGCCCCATCTCTGTCCACCTGGGCCCCTCCCTGTACCCATGGCCACATCTCTGTCCCCCGAGGGCCCGTCTCTGTCCCTACAGTCATATCTCTGACCCCACTGGCTCTGTCTCCATCATGCATGGTCCCGTCTCTGTCCCCAAGCCCCTCTGTCCCCATGGTCCAATCTCGGTCTATGGCCACATCTCTGCTTCTCATGGCCCCATCTTGTCCCCATGCCCCATCTCCGTCCCCACAGCCACATCTCGGGCTCCCGTGGCCCCATAGCCTTGTTTCTGTCCCCACAGCCCCTTCTCTGTCCCATGGCTGCCTCTCACACAGGCTCCACCCCAACCACCTGTGCCTCACCCTGGATCCCCACTCAGCGTCTCTACCCCAGAAGCCTCCAGGTAGACCCAGGACCACCCATTCCCGGCTCCCCTGGCTGGGGAAGGCTGAAAAGGGCTGGACTGTCCACTGGGCCATTTGGGAAGGGAGGATGGACCGACAGCGGGACCCCAAGGACCCACAGACAAGGGCTGAGAACCCAGAAACACGGGATGGATAGCCCTAGGGAGCCGGCCCCATCCTCCTCCGCCCCCACCAGAGACCCCCGTGCGCTGCGCGCTGTGCGCTCCTTACCCGGCGCCGCCTGGGTTGCCGGTTCCCCATCGCCCACCGGTGGCCCAGCCCCTGCCCGCCGCGCCCCGGCTCTCCGGCAGGCCGCTCCTCCCTCCCTCTTCCTCGGGCGGCTCCTCGGCTCCTCCCGCCGCCCAGGCCGGCCTCCTAGGGCCGCTCCACCCCCGCGCACCCGCTGGGGGCCTGCGGGGGCAGAGACCCCCCTCTGCCCTCCTGGCAAAGGGCGGGGGCTGGTCTGGACAGTAGCTACCCTTTGGAGGGGAGCGCTAGCTGGGCGTTGGCTTGGCCCCCTGGGGGACCCCCTCCTCCCAGAGGGCCGGGAGCAGCCTCCATCCCCCCCCAGGTTTGGGCCTCTTGCCTGCCTCATTAATAAAGCGGATAAAATCTAAACACTGGAGAATGTAAGCGCTGCCCCGGGGCGGGCTGGGGTGGGGGCAGGGGGCGCTGCTAACCCCCACAGGGGCTTTGGGATTGGGGGGCTAACCCTGTGTGTGGGGGATAATGGGGGGCTGCAATGCCCCCTGCCCTGCAGAGCCTTTCTGGATACCCGGTCAGGGTGGGGAGTGGTGGGCAGTGCCTTGGGGGGGACCAGCTTGGGTCAGGCCCAGCCTGGCCCTTGGGGATCCACCCACTGTTTACACAGGGGCTTAAGCCCGGGCCAGGGCCAAGGGGAGGGAGGAGGCTGATGGGTGCAGGGGAGCTAGGAAGCCTGGTGACTGGGAGACTGTTTCCCCAGCATTTAGAATCTAGATCTTTTTTTTCTTTTCTTTTTTAAGATTTTTGCTATAGGGCATGTGCACTTGCCAGAGAGACAGAAAGCAAGAAATCACCCCCTAGAGGGGATGGCCACGCTCCAATCCCTTCTCCTCCGTCCTCTGCTAGGGATTTTGGGCATGCATGCACACGTCTGGTGTGAGTTTGAAGCCGCCGGGCCTGGGACTTGAACCATGGTCAACTATGGGAGTCTAGTGCCGTTTTTGTTACTCCATCTATTGGTCCCTAGATCCTGCTTTACGGTGGGTTGAGCCACATCTGGGACTCACCTTCAGAGCCACAGAGACACCCTGAACCCTGGACAGCTGCCCCAAGACCTAGTGTGACACACAATCATGTCCCTTAACGGCCCGAGACCTGACCACTACTGCACCCTGTCCCCACTTTCAGCAACAACCAGGTCATTGTCATCACACCCCTGGTCTTGTGGGGGACGGTCTCACGCCAGCACCAGACACGCACCTGTAGTTAACACCAGCTCCTTCCCTCAACACCCCAAATTGCAGTCCCCCAAGAAAGTCCCCTGGAATGCCCCCGTCACATCCCTTAGTGCTAAAAAAAGTCTCACCTAGAACCTGGCACAAACACGATACTTACCTGGAAAGACCCCCCCAGTTAGCACTCCAAATCACACAGACACCCACTAACAGCCCCAGACAGGACCCTGGGCACTCTCTGTGTCCCCAAGACATAAAAACTGAGACTCCTCCCCAAATCCCCCAAGACCTAGCCAGTCACCCTTGCTCCAGGAACAGCGACATCCTGAAATAAACATGCCCACCACCCCGGGCATCCCAAGACGAAGCTAGTCACCCTGGGGACCACAGGGGGCATGGCCACGCCGCAATCTCTTCTCCTCCATTCTCCTCTTGGGATTTTGGGCATGCATGCACACACGTGACCACACACAGCCATGTTCTGAGACAGAAACACCTCTGGACACCCCAGGATTAAATCAGTCACCCCTATCCACTCCAAGAAATAGCAAGACCCTTAGGGCCGGCAGGTGGCATGGTGGTGAAGATGCTGGATCTCACGTGGCCAACGGCAGTTCTAGTTCTGGAGCTGACAGCTTGCTTTCTCACTGCCCCCCCAACGTGACTGAATGTGCCCTGTAGCAAATTAAAATAATAATAATATAATTAAAAACATTTTTAGTATAGGGCATATGTGCTCGCTGGAGAGACAGAACATGAAAAATCACCTCCTAGAGGGATGGCCATACCATAATCCCTTCTCCATTCCCCTCTTGGGATCTTGCATGCACACAGGCCCAGCGTGAGTTTGAAGCTGCTGGGTCTGGGACTCGAACCACGGTCAGCCACGTGGGAGTCCAGTGCCTGAACTACTGCGCCACCTGCTGGCCCTATAAATAATTCTTAAAAAAAGAAAGAAAAAAACTAGTAACATCCTGACATACATAGCCACACCCCCAGACACCCCAAGACGTGGCATACTCCACACAGACACCCCCATTACACACGGCACCTGGGACACAGCTGTGTATTCCTCCCCCACGGCTGAGGCAGGTCACGCTCCCCCCCAACGTGGTGACAGCCATCCACACCACAGTTCACCCTCAGAGCGAACAACACGGGTGCCCAGCGAGGCCGGAGTCACCAGAGGCTAGCTCCTCACCCCACTCCACCCCACCCTGTAAACCCAGCCACACTCTGCTCCGTGGGTCCTTCCCAGCCCCTGGAGTCCTCCAGTCTGTTGGAAATGGGGCCCGGGCTGGGCTCAGCCTTCCCCACAGCTCACCCCCAAACATTCCTGTGGGGACCTCTGGCCTGACTCCCCTCACTTCGGTCTCCTCCATTCCCTCCAGGTCTGGCCAGGGTCCCGCCTCCCCCGCCCTTTTCGCTGATCCCCTCAATCTTTGAGGATGAAGTGGGTTGTCAAAACAAGCCCGCTGGGTTTACGTCCTGTGCGAAGCATGGCTCACCCTGACGCTTGTGGTCTCTGCATGACGGGCCCTGGCTAGGTGGGGACTGCACCAACAGGACCTCAGCCCCGGGGTGAGCTCCACCCATCAGCACTGTGCTGGGCCAGCCTCCCATGTGTCTCCCCCTCGTCCCGTTTTGCTATAGGGCGCGAGCATGCACGAGAGAGACAAAGTGAGAAATCACCCCCTGGGGGGTGGCCACACCGCAATCCCTTCTCTTCCATTCTCCTCTGGGGGATTTTGGGCACACATGCCCAGCATGATTTTCAAGTCACTGGGTCTGGGCCTCGAACCCCAGATGGCCATGTGGGAGTCCAGTGCCTTAAACACCATGCCACCTGCTGGTCTCAACTTTTTTTTTTTTAATTTTTGCTATAGGGAGCGTGTACTTGCTGGGAGACAGAGATAAGAGAGAGAGAGAGAGAGAGAGAGAGAGAGAGAGAGAGAGATCACCCCCAGGGAGAATGGATATACCATAATCCCTTCTCTGTTTTCAGGATTTTAGGTACACATGTACATGGTGTGTTTTCCAAGCCACCGGGTCTGGGACTTGAACTGCTCAGCGGGCCATGTGGGATCCAGCCACCTTAACCATCAGGCCACCTGGCTGGCCCTGAGTTCCCATTTTTCATCTTCCAAGCCAAACTTTGTCATCTACTGTGAGACATCAACCTCGTGACTCCTGTTTACGTGGGAGGTGGTGCTGGCGAGGGGGCAGGATTTGAACCCTTGGTGGGCCAGAGAGTTTCAGCCTTGCCTGGAAGCCTGGTGGCCCGCAGCCAGGGGAACAGTGGGAAGGGGTGGGCGGCCTGGGGCCAGCTCCTAATTCAATTTGGAGCCCGGGGAAGATGGATTTCAGCTGCTACATTCTTTCCCAGCTCCGGCCTACCCCCCTCTCCCCCACCAAAGCCACGCGGGTCCAACGGCGGATAGATTCTTTATGTTCCAGACAGCAAATTCAGATACAAAAGCCCACCACCCCGTCTCTCCCTCCGCTCTGGCCCTGGGCTGGGCCATGAGGGAGAGACTGGGGTGGGGAGGGCTTTGGGGGTTCACAGCAGACTTTCAAATGTGGAAGTAACAGACTCCCCGTGGTGGGTGGGCGAGGGGGCTCCTCTCGGGAGGAGGGTGGCGGAGAAGGAAGGTATCATTGCATTTGCCGGGGGGAAGGGGAGACAACCCCCCCCCGCCCCGTTCTGCAAACCCTGCGTCAGGAAACTACAGAGGTCATGACCCCCCAAAAAACCCCAGGCCCCAGGGAGACAGAGGGACCGGTTTGGCAGCTGATGGTGGAAAGTGTTGGGGGCGGGAGTGGCCGCAGGGTTTGGGTTTGGCCGGTCCCTCCCTGTGCCTGACCCTGCTGAGGTAGGTGGGGAGCAGGGGACCCCAGCCAGGCTGGGAAGGGCATGGTACCGACTACAGCGGGCCGGGGGCTGGGCTCCACCTCCCTCCTCTCCGGCTGCCGAGCAAGGCCGAAGCTGGACACTCAGGTCCAAGTTGCTCTGTCCCCTCTGGGGACCCGTGCCAGGCCGGGCCACGGCCATCTTGCAGTCCAGTGGGAGTCCTAGTAGCGGCCGACCTTGGCGTCCCCGATGGCGCCCCAGACGTCAAAGACGAACTCATCCGGGAAAGCGAAGTCACCCAGCCGTTCATCCAGGGCCTCGGCCAGCTCGTCTGGGTTCTTCTTGTCCTTCCCTAGCTCCACCATGGTGGCCGCTGGACAGGGAGGCGCGGATGGCATGAGGGGCAGGACCGAGGGGTGCCCCAACCCAGACCCCAGTGTCCCCCACTCACCTAGCTCTGTGTCCCTGATGCCCATGTAACTCTCCAGCAGGTCGTCCACCTTCTCGATGGCCTTCTCCTCGAAGGCCGAGGGCTGGGAGGGCGGGGGGGCGGGGACAGTGACATCATCAGAATATGACCACAACCATAATTGCACTTTTTTTTTTTTTTTTTTGAGGGACAGAGTGAGAGAGGAAAAGTGAGAAAGCAAGCCACCAGGTCTGGGACTTGAACCACGGTTGGCCATGTGGGAGTCCAATGCCTTAACCAACATGCCACCTGCTAGCCCCAGCGTTGTACTTTTTTATGTTTTCCTATGTAAAAATGCATCATGACTTTTCCAACACCCCAATATATGTATTTTAATTTGCTATGGCGGTGGGCCAGCAGGTGGCGTGGTGGTTGAGGTGCTAGAGTCCCACATGGCCGACTGAGGTTCGAGTCCCGGACCTGGTGGCTTGCTTTCTCACTTTTCCTTTCTGTCTCTCTCTTTGGAGAGCACACGTGCCCTATTGCAAATTAAATAATAATTAATTTAATAAATCATTTAAAAGAAAAACAATTCCCTATAGGGACTATGTGTTCACCAAGGGGGAAGAGAGAGAGAAAGTGAGAAATCACCCCAGAGGGCAGATGGAGACATCATAGTCCCTTCTCCTCCATTCTCCTCTGGGCATCTTGGGCATGCATGTACACATGCCTCATGTGTTTTTCAAGCCCCTGGGTCTGGGACTCGAACCAAGCCCACGCCCAGGTGGGATCCAGCCACCTAAACCAAAATGCCACCACTGGCTGGCCTTTAAATATATTTTTATCCATGGAGAACCCTCAGGACAACCCTGAGAAAGTGCTATTTGGTATTATCCTCCTTTTACAGGCTGGTAAACTGAGGCCCCAAGTCCGAGGAAGATTCCAGAGCAGGAAGTGGCAGAAGCGGCTTTGAATCCAGCCAGCATGCCCAGAGCCCCTGGGCTAACAGGGAGCCCTGCTGCGTGGGAAGGTGCAGGGCAGGGGCGCTGGGGTCTGTCCGGACCACTCACCAAATCCTCCACGGTAGCAGGGCCCCGGGATCGGAGCCGCAAGGTCCCTCGGCCGGTGCCCAGCTGGGAGCCAGCGCCAGGTCGGCCACTGGCTGATCTCTGGCTAATCATATCTGCGGGAAGCAGGGAGGGGGCCAGAGAGAGGAGGGACTCAACTTCTAAGGCATCCTGGCTTTATGACAACCCCCCAACCTTCTCCCCTCCCTCAAGCTTCTGCAGGGGCCAAGGTGACCCCAGAGGGGCAGGCATGGATGTGGGAAGGGCAGCTAAGAGCCAAAAATGGAAAAAACTGGATTGGTGGCTTCTGCTCCCAGAGCCTGAGTGACAGGAAGGGGCTGGGGGTCTGGGTTTTCCCTGCCAGGGCGAGGAGGAGGCCAATAGCTGCAGGGCCACAGAGCAGCCCCACCTGCCCCGGGAAATGTCTGAGAGTCTCCCACCCCCACCATAGGGGCCTCAGGCCCATTCCTGAGAGTTAGTGAAGCCAGATGGAAAAGTGGGGGGGGCCGGTGCAAAGCAGCCAGGCCTGGCTTCTTGAGGCTGGTGGGATTGGCCAGGGTTGGGGGCGCTTGGCTGGGCTAATGGCTCCTGGAAGCTGGGTGTGGGGGCGACTTCCTCCTCGTGCTCGCCCTTCTCCCAGGCTGGGCCTGGAGCCAGCACCCCCTCCCGGGCAGGGCGGAGCTGTCCCCCTAACTGCGGCCGCCCGGCCTTGCGCGCCACCTGCTGGTGGTTCCCGGCACTGCAGCCTCGAGTCCCTTAGCCCAGACCCGCCAGCCGCTCACCGAAGGCCTTGCGGGGCTCCGTGAGCTTCAGCGTGAAGGTGCGGCCTCGGGGCAGCTCCTTGAGCAGCCGGGCCACCTCGTAGTGCCGGCAGCCCAGCAGGCTCTGGCCGTTGATGGCCTCGATCATGTCGCCCACGTTGACGACCTGGATGTGGTCGATCACGCTGCCTTCCTTGATGCGCTGCGGGGAGCGGCAGAGGGCAGTGGGGTCCAGCGGCCCCGCCCTCGCCCTCGCCCCCAGGACTGCAGGGCGCCCGCCCACCCGCCCAGGCACCTTGATGAAGGCATAGCCGGCCCCATTGTCCGTGATGGTGAGCCCCAGCGCGTCCTCCGACTTGAACACCTCCACCTCCTTGCGCTGCCCCTTGATGTGGGCGAAAATGAAGTCCTCCAGCCCGATCTGGCCCCCCAGGAGCTTGTCCATGTCCACTTTGTGGGTGTTGAGGGTGCAGAACATCACCTGTGGGAGGCGGTGGGGTGGGTGTGGGCTGGTGGGCAGAGGTGGTGCCCTCAATTTCCACCTCCCTCCCGTGCCCTTTGCCACCTGACATCAGGGGGAACAGAGGTCTCTAACCCAGTGCCCAACCACCCTCTCCCACCAGCACGCCAGCCCTGCTAGGGCTCGGGCTCTGGTCCTCATGAAAGTCCACTGCAGCAGAGCCCAGCACACAGTAGGTGCTCGTGCTTGGGGAGGGCCAGACTCGTACCTAGCTTATGCGGGCCTCTGCATTTACTTCCTGCTCAATCCCACCTTTGCCCTTTTCACCCCCGCCTCCCTTTGGTCCCACAGTCCTTAGGGTCAGGCCTCCCAGTGCATCGTGGAGAAGGGATCTTGCTCCGAGTCTGCAGGTGTGCAGGCTTTCCAATATCGTGGGAACTCAGCCTCCTGTCCTGGCCATGAGCTCCCACAATCCACCGGGGCAGAGGCTTCCCAGTGCATGATGGGAACTCAGCCTCCTGTCCTGGCCACTGGGTCCCACAATCCACTGGGGCACAGGCCCCGTAGAGCCTGATGGGAACTCAGCCTTCTGTCCTGGTCATCGGCTCCCACAACCCACTGGAGTATAGGGTTCCCAGTGCATGATGGGAACTCAGCCTCCTGTCCTGGCCATCAGCTCCCACAACCCACTGCAGTACAGGCTTCCCAGTGCATGATGGGAACTCAGCCTCCTGTCCTGGCCATCAGCTCCCACAACCCACTGCAGTACAGGCTTCCCAGTGCATGATGGGAACTCAGCCTCCTGTCCTGGCCATCAGCTCCCACAACCCACTGCAGTACAGGCTTCCCAGTGCATGATGGGAACTCAGCCTCCTGTCCTGGCCATCAGCTCCCACAACCCACTGCAGTACAGGCTTCCCAGTGCATGATGGGAACTCAGCCTCCTGTCCTGGCCATCAGCTCCCACAACCCACTGCAGTACAGGCTTCCCAGTGCATGATGGGAACTCAGCCTCCTGTCCTGGCCATCAGCTCCCACAACCCACTGCAGTACAGGCTTCCCAGTGCATGATGGGAACTCAGCCTCCTGTCCTGGCCATCAGCTCCCACAACCCACTGCAGTACAGGCTTCCCAGTGCATGATGGGAACTCAGCCTCCTGTCCTGGCCATCAGCTCCCACAACCCACTGCAGTACAGGCTTCCCAGTGCATGATGGGAACTCAGCCTCCTGTCCTGGCCATCAGCTCCCACAACCCACTGCAGTACAGGCTTCCCAGTGCATGATGGGAACTCAGCCTCCTGTCCTGGCCATCAGCTCCCACAACCCACTGCAGTACAGGCTTCCCAGTGCATGATGGGAACTCAGCCTCCTGTCCTGGCCATCAGCTCCCACAACCCACTGCAGTACAGGCTTCCCAGTGCATGATGGGAACTCAGCCTCCTGTCCTGGCCATCAGCTCCCACAACCCACTGCAGTACAGGCTTCCCAGTGCATGATGGGAACTCAGCCTCCTGTCCTGGCCATCAGCTCCCACAACCCACTGCAGTACAGGCTTCCCAGTGCATGATGGGAACTCAGCCTCCTGTCCTGGCCATCAGCTCCCACAACCCACTGCAGTACAGGCTTCCCAGTGCATGATGGGAACTCAGCCTCCTGTCCTGGCCATCAGCTCCCACAACCCACTGCAGTACAGGCTTCCCAGTGCATGATGGGAACTCAGCCTCCTGTCCTGGCCATCAGCTCCCACAACCCACTGCAGTACAGGCTTCCCAGTGCATGATGGGAACTCAGCCTCCTGTCCTGGCCATCAGCTCCCACAACCCACTGCAGTACAGGCTTCCCAGTGCATGATGGGAACTCAGCCTCCTGTCCTGGCCATCAGCTCCCACAACCCACTGCAGTACAGGCTTCCCAGTGCATGATGGGAACTCAGCCTCCTGTCCTGGCCATCAGCTCCCACAACCCACTGCAGTACAGGCTTCCCAGTGCATGATGGGAACTCAGCCTCCTGTCCTGGCCATCAGCTCCCACAACCCACTGCAGTACAGGCTTCCCAGTGCATGATGGGAACTCAGCCTCCTGTCCTGGCCATCAGCTCCCACAACCCACTGCAGTACAGGCTTCCCAGTGCATGATGGGAACTCAGCCTCCTGTCCTGGCCATCAGCTCCCACAACCCACTGCAGTACAGGCTTCCCAGTGCATGATGGGAACTCAGCCTCCTGTCCTGGCCATCAGCTCCCACAACCCACTGCAGTACAGGCTTCCCAGTGCATGATGGGAACTCAGCCTCCTGTCCTGGCCATCAGCTCCCACAACCCACTGCAGTACAGGCTTCCCAGTGCATGATGGGAACTCAGCCTCCTGTCCTGGCCATCAGCTCCCACAACCCACTGCAGTACAGGCTTCCCAGTGCATGATGGGAACTCAGCCTCCTGTCCTGGCCATCAGCTCCCACAACCCACTGCAGTACAGGCTTCCCAGTGCATGATGGGAACTCAGCCTCCTGTCCTGGCCATCAGCTCCCACAACCCACTGCAGTACAGGCTTCCCAGTGCATGATGGGAACTCAGCCTCCTGTCCTGGCCATCAGCTCCCACAACCCACTGCAGTACAGGCTTCCCAGTGCATGATGGGAACTCAGCCTCCTGTCCTGGCCATCAGCTCCCACAACCCACTGCAGTACAGGCTTCCCAGTGCATGATGGGAACTCAGCCTCCTGTCCTGGCCATCAGCTCCCACAACCCACTGCAGTACAGGCTTCCCAGTGCATGATGGGAACTCAGCCTCCTGTCCTGGCCATCAGCTCCCACAACCCACTGCAGTACAGGCTTCCCAGTGCATGATGGGAACTCAGCCTCCTGTCCTGGCCATCAGCTCCCACAACCCACTGCAGTACAGGCTTCCCAGTGCATGATGGGAACTCAGCCTCCTGTCCTGGCCATCAGCTCCCACAACCCACTGCAGTACAGGCTTCCCAGTGCATGATGGGAACTCAGCCTCCTGTCCTGGCCATCAGCTCCCACAACCCACTGCAGTACAGGCTTCCCAGTGCATGATGGGAACTCAGCCTCCTGTCCTGGCCACTGGCTTCCACAATCCACTGGGGCACAGGCCCCATAGAGCCTGATGGGAACTCAGACTCCTGTCCTGGTCATCGGCTCCCACAACCCACTGGAGTATAGGGTTCCCAGTGCATGATGGGAACTCAGCCTCCTGTCCTGGCCACTGGCTTCCACAATCCACTGGGGCACAGGCCCCATAGAGCCTGATGGGAACTCAGACTCCTGTCCTGGTCATCGGCTCCCACAACCCACTGGAGTATAGGGTTCCCAGTGCATGATGGGAACTCAGCCTCCTGTTCTGGCCACTGGCTCCCACAATCCATTGAGGTGCAAACCTCCCCCATGGGAACTTAAGTCTTCTCTCCTGGCAATCAGCTCCCCAAATCCACAAGGGTAGAGGCCTCCCAGTGCCTGATGGGAACTCAGCATGCAGTCCTTGCTATCAGCTCCCACAATCCCCTGGGGTGTAAGCCTATCTCAGCGCATCATGGGAAGATCGTCTCCAGCCCTGGCCACCATCTCCCACAATTCACCGGGGCCGGGTCTCCCAATGCCTGATGGGAAAGCAGCACCCAGCCAGGCCATCGGCCCTAGAACCCAGGGGTGCAGCCTCAGCACCTGCAGCTTCGGCATCTGAGCTCCAGCTGAGGATGTGACCCCGGCCTCTGGCCCGTGATCGGGGACCCCAGACCCAGCTCCCCAGGGGGTACCTCCGCAGGTGGCAGCCGGAAGGCCTCGGCGATCTTGCCGTACAGCTCCTTGACGTTGGTGAAGCCCTCGATGCGGCCAGTGGGGCTGCCGTGGGCCAGCTGGGTGTGGAACACGAGGCGGGGCCGCAGGGCCGGGGGAGGGGGCGGCAAGCCCATTTGGGGCCCCCCTGCCCCACCTCCGCCCAGGGGCCCCGACTCCCCCACGCCCAGCCCCCCACGGCCTGGCTCGGCTTCTTCATTTTCCACCAGAGGTGGCGCCTTTTTCCGCCGCCCCAGTCCCAGCGGCATGAGCAGCAAGAAGGGGTACTCCCAGGAGATCTGCAGGGCAGGAAGGGGGAGTTCAGGGCCCCGGCGGGGGTGTCTTAGGTGCCTCTCCACCACCAGCATCAAACAGGCCCAATGAGGGATTGAGGGGAGCCCGGTTACAATCCCACTCGTGTATACGAGGAATAACTGCAGCTAGTTTCTTTTTCTTTTTATATTTTTCTTTTTTTTTTTTGAGAGGTTTTTGCTAAAGGGCACATGCGCTCGCCAGACAGACAGAGACAGACAGACAGACAGACAGACAGAAAGCGAGAAATCACTCCAGGGAGGGATGGCTATGTTGCATCCCTCCTCTAATTTGCTCTCGGAATTTGGGGCATGCACACACATGCACCTGGGATGATTCTGAAACTGCCAGGTCCAGGACTCAAACTGCAGTCAGTCACGTAGGAGTCCAGATCCTTACCCACCATGCCGCTAGTTGGCCATCTTTTTTTTAAAAAAACTAATTGCCCGAGACCAGCAGATGGCATAATGGTTATATTGCTAGACTCCCGAGTAGTCCACTACAGTTCGAGTTCTGGACCTGGCGGCTTAAAACTCATGCCAGGGGTGTGTACGTGCATGACCAAAATCCAGGAGGAGACGGGAGAAGGGATGGCACCGTGGTCATTGCCCCTAGGGGGTGATTATTCGCCTTCTGTCTGTCTCTGTCTTTCCGGTGAGAGTGCACGCCCCCTATAGCAAAAATCTCTTAAAAGAAAACAAAAAGCTAATTGCTATAGGGCATGCAGGCTCATGAGAGAGAGAGAGAGAGGGAGAGAGAGAGAGACAGAGAGAAGGAAATGACCCTGCAAATGTGGTCATGTTGGAATCCCTTTTCCATTTTTTTTCTCTTTTTTTGGAGAAGTTTTTTCCTTATTGGGCGCGTGCGCTCGCCAGAAAGACAGAGAGAGACAGAGAGACAGAAAGCGAGAAATCACCCCCCCTGAGGGGCCACACCGCAATCCCTTCTCCTCCATTCTCCTCTCAGGATTTTGGGCATGCACGCACACGCGCCTAGTGTAAGTTTAAGCCACCGGGTCTGGGACTCGAACCGCGGTCGACTACATGGGAGTCCGGCCACATAGCCATTACACCAACTGCTGCTTCCCTCCTTTTCCATTTCTCTATTCTCTTGGGATTTGGGGTATGGACATACACATGCCCTGCATGTTTGTTTGTTTGTTTGTTTAAAGAATTATTTTATTTAACTTTATTTATTTATTTAACAGTGACCAGACAGGGACAGAGAAAGAGAAAGTGAGAAATCGCCCCCCAGGGGGGATGGCCACGCCGCAATCCCTTCTCCTCCATTCTCCTCTCGGGATCTTGGGCACGCACACCCACGTGTCCGGCGTGAGTTTTAAGCCACCGGGTCTGGGACGCGAACTGTGGTCTACTACATGGGAGTCCAGTGACATAGCCATCACGCTAACTGCTGGTCCCAAGGTTTGCTTTCTCATAGTCTGTCTCGCTCGCTCGTTCCCTCTCTGTCTCTGGTGAGCACACATGCCCTGGAGCAAATTTTTAAAAAGAATAATGATAAATAAAATTAAATTAATAATTCTTTTATTAAAAAAATGACAAAATCGGGACCAGCAGTTGGCGTTATGGCTGGTGTGCTGGAGCCCCCACG